ATAATAATAATAATAATAATAATAAAAACAGTTTTATTCAATATAAATGCTTGAGTTCTATACAGAAATAAAAAAAAATGGACAGTAAAGATTACAATGAAATAATGCTAGGTAGTCTATTAAAATTAATTTGTTTTATAAATTTTAAGAATGAAATGATTCTATTTTTAGAGGAGAAAATAGGGTTAATCAGAAAGTGGATTTTAATATAATATTTGCAGCTTGAATCCTACTCATTAATTTAATAAATAATAAACTAAATTTTTGAAAGACCTAACTTAATGTTACTTATATTTAATATTAAGTTCGTTATATTTACAGAAAAAGATTGCCGTTGGTTAAGGGTAGGATTATATTAAAATTGCATAGTTATATAATATATTATTATAATGTATTATACTTTCCTTCTATGCTATCAAATAGTAATAACTTCATTAATTACCATCAAATCACATTCCACTACATAAGCTTTGATCTAGGTGTATTATATTTAAGGAAAAACCTTGACCTTGGTCAGAGCCATGAATCATTTATTGATTTACCTTTTGGGTGCATATGACATCATTCCGTATTCGGTATTCTGTATTTGTTGTTCGACATTTCGTTGTTTGCAGCCGTGTCCTTTACCAGGACACGAAGTACCAGCTCCGTTGCCAAGCTGAGAAATTGTTTTTCTTTTTTGTCTGGTATTGACCTTCGACAATGAGCTAACTTGAAGCTACACAATTAGCGGGGCGTGCGAATTTTTCATTATTCAGCCGGGCGGGCATGTGGCGAGCGATTACGATTCCTATGACATCATCAACAACTGAGARGCACCAACAGCAGCAGCAGAAGCAGCATCTAAAGTTCGGTTCATCGATTCACAGCTATGTGTGTTGAGTTGCCCATGTGTGTGTGAGGTCTGTGAAAACCTGGTGTGGAACGTAAGTTTCTCAACTGGGCTGGCAGTTACTCATAGAACGACAAGATACGCATACATATGAGTGAGAGATACAAATGTATCTGTGTCTGTATCTGTATCTGTATCTGGTTTGCTGGTGTATCTTTAGCTGTGTCTGTCGCCTGTTTGTATTTGTTGCGCTTGAGTTCTGTTGGTCTTGAGTTCAGGTTTTATTTATTTATTTTTTGTGTTTTTTTTTTTTTTTTTCATGTATTATATTTTTCTGCTTAGCTCTTTTGCGCATTATCTGCGGCGATGAGGAGCAAAAAGAAAAACACAAAACATCTGAGGTTCTCGACGCTTGCTCTCAATTGTGGCTTATTGTGTTACTTTATGGCCATGTTATGACATTCTAGCCGGTTTTTTTGTGTTTCTATTTTTCGTTTATTCTTATTATTGACCGCAGCATAGCTTAAAATCTGCGTCGTACTATTACACAAATGCGTTGAGAGCACTTGATTCATTTTGATAAATAATCATTATTGGTATAATGGAGACTTAGTGTTTCATAGTCGGATTCTTGCTCGCTATTCGCCACATGATTTCGACATTTCTATTCTTAGTCGATTGCAAGCAGAATACAAATTTGTTTTGCTATCGCCTGTAAGACAGGCAATTTGTTTTGTTTATTTACAGATTTATTAATTTGTAAGTGAAATCGGTTTTGGTTTCAAATGCAAATATAGATTAGCTTTTTGATGTTTACCAAACAGCAAACTCGTTCGCTACAAGTTTCTCCACAATAACAATTTTTTGTATCTTATTCTTATTTCTATTTTTATAGCTGATGGGAAGATTCTTTTTTTATAATACTTTTTTAATACTAATATATAATAAACAGGTTACTTTGAAAGAATTTAAGAACATTCAAATTTTGTTTATTTGTATTTACAATATATCTAAAATTATGTTCTAACGTTAATTTCATATACAAATCCTCTGTATATGTTTATACTCTGCCCCCATTGAAAGTAAGAAATCAAGGTATAATGGTTTTGTGAAAAAGTATGTAACGGGCAGAACGAATCATCGCAGACCCCATAAAGTCAGCACGACGAGCTGAATCTAATAGCCCTGTCCGTCTATTCGTCCGTATGAGTGCATCGATCTCAGAAGTTATAAGAGCTAGGGAGCTGAAATTTGGCATGCATACTCGGGTATACCATACGCAGTACAAGTTTATCTTTTTTTCGATAACTCATCCGATACCTTTTTTATCGAGAAGAATCGAAAAATCGACTAATTTGAGCCTAATTTGAACACCTTTAGACCTAGAGACTTCAGATTTACTGTGTACAGTTAATCGATACAAAGATTTTGTAATTTACAGATTTTGGATACCACGCCTCCTTTGCCCCCAATTTGTAAAATACGTATTTCAAGTACTAAAGACTTGTGCTTTTGAATGTACACACATTCTACCCATATGATCACGCTCCTAAAGTTTCATAAAGATACTCTTACTACAAGAGAAATTATTCAACTAATAAATTCTCATAATATTGTCCACACTGCAGCGCAGCCCAAGCGCAGTCGCTGCTTACTGCGCAGTCGCTGCTTACTGCGCAGTCAGCAGAGCTCGTGATTATACGTGCGTGTGGATGCGTGTGCATGTTTGCATAAAAGAAGTCCAGATTGATTAGAATATCAGCTTAGGGAGTTCAGAGTATCTCCTAGTCGAGCAGTCTCGATTACAGCCTTCTTACTTGTTTTTGTATAACCAGTTATAGTTATATTGTTTTATATAGGCTTCTGCTGAAAATCCGTCGAGTTTCATAGCACAAGTGCAAGTAACTCTGTCTATTCTGCCTTGCTTTTTGGCTCAAACTTTGTATACCATTTGATCGAAGTTCCCTGCTTCTTCCATTATCATATTTTGCGTTCCAAAAGAATTCCATAATTTTCGCACTTTTTCTCGCACTCATCGGCGCGTGGTCCAATCAAAATGCTAATTAACATTTTTTTTGTGCCAAAAATATCTAAAAAGCGAAAATAAATATAAAGAAGCGGTTTTAGTACATAGTATATTTTTTTATATAGGCATGCATATTGTTAAATTCGAAAGGCCATTTAGTTTTGGTATGTAAACACTTTGCTTTCCCAGCCGCGCCGCAAGAAAGCGTGAATAAAGAGCTGAAAACTATTGGAATAAATTACCACGAAACGCCATTATGACATCACATACTGTAAATTATTCAAATGTTTGCGCATTGTTTAATGTATATATATATACACACACACACACACACACACACATACAGTTACACTTGGCATGCCTTGTTAGAATAGTTCTACATACATACATATACATATATAGCTCGAAAATCGACGATTCGAGCGGATTGCCGTTGCGGTGGCTTTTAATGGCACACTGTTTCTATTTGAGTGAACGCACACGTCACTTTATGGGAATGCAGCAGCTGAACAGTCTCTCTGGGCTGGGACACTGCTTCCGACGCGCACAATTCCTATTCAATTATAATTAAAATTTTATTTTTTCTCTTGTGTATGCCCTGTGTATGTACAAATTGTTATTATCAAACTGTGAAGACTTCGTTCTCCAAGTTATATAATATGTACACATATACATATATATTAGTCAGCGTTCGATTAATATAGTCTTATTTTTTAGTCGATTCAACTGCGTGACCTCATCGAACTATGTTATGAAATTTGGTATGATAGCATCTACATATTTCTAATACAAGACCTACGCAGTTAAATCTTGTTTTTGGATATATTCATTTCCTTTGCGAATTCGGCAGCTATATAAAATCTAAAGATCTATAATTTGGGTATGATTTAATCTGATGCATTCGAAATCTAAATTCTAATATAAAATTGGCATCCTCAGTGAACTCAGAATTGTTTAGAGCTAGCGGTATAAGAGTTGGTATTCAACTGATATCAGCCATGCAAAGCTCCATTTTATTTTCATGTAGTCGTAGCTCCAGCCATTCCTCACCAATCCATACAATATATATATATATGTATATATGTTAATGCATGCACAGAGCATTCAGTAGTCGTGCACCCAAGTATTAATCATCTTACGTGCTTAGTTTTCGTATTTGATGCGTTTCAATTTGTTGCTGCCGCCTCCAAATTAAGTGCCACGAACTGCGCAGCAGCTGGCTGGGTGTCAACTGCCTCTAATCAGGGTGAGAATCAGGCATGGCATGTAATTACGATCTGATTAGTTCATGCTCGATGAAATTCCAGGCCGTGTCCAGGTATTTTTGCTTTATGCTTTGGCAATTAGCATCGTCTGGGCACAGTTTTCACAATTGACAATTTTCATCGATAAGCTCGGCCAAAAGCTCGACTGATTGCAGTACATTCCAGTCTATAAATTATGATCGGCAACTGGCATAGCCTTTAGTTGAAATTCAAAAGCTTAGCTAAAATGTATCCCAGCCGCCAGCAGCCCAAATGTGCGAAAAGGGAGAGAGTTTGAGTTGAATTGGAAGTAAAATTGATTTTAATTATATTTCTTTTCCGACAGCCTCACTGAAGAGCTTTGGCGACAAGACCGCCAACTTGTTCAGCAAGAAGAAGGATGAGGCCGAGAGGCTGGCCAACGAAAAGGCAGCCGAGGCACAGAAACTGGCTGAGGAGCAGGCCAAAAAGGTCGGACAATCAGTGCAGCAGACCAA